AATAACCGCTCTCCGCACTTTGTAACTGTTTTATAAGTCCCACTATTCGTTCGAAAAATAATAGTCCAGGTGTTGGCAGTGTTGATTAACTGATTTCCCTCTAGTTTATCACATTGAAGTTAAAAACAGCTAGTGTAGATAATCCTGGTGTAGATTTCCATGAAATTAAAAACAAAAATGAGCTTATCGCCACCTAAAAGATATTTTGTTTGTTTGTAATTAAGCACAAAGCCATCATAGGTATCGAAACCTGGGTTTTAGTGTTATAAGCCCCAGATTTACTGCTAAGCCCCTGGGGAAGAGGGTTTATAAGAGATTTATAAGGGATAAAATAACTTTTGCTAACATCGATTGTAATCCGTATACATATTTCATTTTCATTTTTTTATAAATAATATATTTATTGTAATATTTTTATACCTTATAAAAGGTTCTTCAGTTTTTGTTTTTGTTTTATAAATCCTAATATTATCTATCCAAAATTATAATATATTCATTTGATTTATTTGAAACTGGTCAGAGCTTGGAAATTAAATTGTTGACGAGGCAAAAAAATAAAAAATAAAATAAACACACGAGCCCAAACCGTTGTCACAATTTTGGAAACTCGAAAATATAATAAAGAATGAGTCAAGACGCACTTCACAGTTAACAAAACTTCAGTTGCACATGTATTGAACTGGTAATAATATCTTTAATATGTGACAGGTGATCATATTGTTCAGTTACAAGCACAGAATGTTGGCACAAAATTTATGACATTTGTCTGTCTCTTTTTGTGTTAAAGAATTTTGCATTATATTTTACAGTTAGATAATGATTGTCTGGCTGTCCTTGAGTGTTTGTTTGCTTGTTTTTAAGCATAAAGCTATACAATAGGCTATCTCTGCTGTGCCTACCAAATATCGAAATCTGACTATTTAGTGTATAAACCCCTCAGACTTACCGCTGAGACACCGAGGGGCTCCTTGAGTGGGGTTGTATTAAGTAGCCAAAATTGTTGGAAATATCTAAGAATCTTTTTTTACATCGTTCATCTATTTGGTTCATTCAAAACAATGTATTAGTTGTTTGACCCAAAGGTTGAGAAGTGGACTAAATTATAGAATATAGTAACAGAACTTCTGTTTACGTTAAGCAACATTAATATCTTTTTTTTTTTAGAAACTTAAGGATGGGTGATTTTAATGCTACGAAAAGTAATTCTTAATATTAAATTTAGTAAAAAATCATATATATATATGATATTTTATTATCTAACAATAAAGAATACTTTATTTCTAAACCCATGTAAAATAACTGAAATATAGGCAACTTACAGAGGTGTATGTAGTTCTGAGGTACCGTATATTTTGGAAATTGTGGGGTAAAAGTGGATGAAGAAGGTAGAATACAAAAATATATAAATATTGTGTATGTTACCTTACATCCAACAACTTATCTGTTTACCCACATTGTAAAAATTTCACATCCCAGTTATATTATAGCTGAAAAGTAAGTCGTGTTTTATTGAAGTTTTTCTTAACGCTCAAACCGAAAATTACTTTTATTGTATAGTAGCACACTATGTATTTCTAGATTTTGCTGTGAAATGTTATTTTATAAATTCATCCGACAGGCGTCGATAAATGTAACGGTTGGATGATGCGAATATTGAATGTTAGCTCAAAAACAAATTTCAAGTAATTTGTACGTTATGTAAAAAAATGAGTCTTAGCGTTCAGAAATTAATGAGTAACCAAACTGAATAATCTCTGATATTTCAAATTTACTGGTAATTCAATAAAAAGTTAATGAATAAACTAGGTGAAAATTATAGCATTTTTGTGTTTTAATTTATTAAGTCATACTGCAGGCTTAGTGGGACGAAATTCAGTTTTCATTTTCCTATGAAACGCTAGTTGCATAATCAGAGAAGCATGGACGCCCGCAGGAAAGGGCAAGACGGGGGGGGG